GGTATAGAAATCCTCTAAGTGGAAACTTTATTCCAGATAATGGGTATGCCAGTTTTTATGGTGGTATGTTTGCTACGGTCTACACTGGATTAAATTCGCTATGTAACTCAGGGAAACTGAGGGACACTGACCTTCAAGATCCACGAAAGAGGTGGTTGCGCTGATGCAAACATTAGCAGAACACAAAGGTTTTAAAACATTCTGTGGGATCTACGCTGACGCAGTGATTTCTAACCACCCACTGGTTATCAGAGCTCCAAGTGATTTAAGAGTTATATTTCACCTCTTCATAGAAAAAATCGAAAATGTTTCAAAATAAACATTTTCTATAAACCCATAAAGTATAAAAAAGTGAAAAATCAAAATCAAGAAAAGCTCGCATGTGAAGGGAGGGAGGGTCAAGGGAAGGAAAGCTGAACCCTGGTCTGCCAGCTGGAAGACGTAACGAAGTTGTCACGGCGGGTCCTTGAGTTTACCTCTAGGCAACGAAACCAAGAGAGAATCTTCAACAGGTCTGTAGTTTTCACTAATCACGAGGAGAAATAAACATATTCCAGCTGTTTAAGGGAAGCAAAACCACTCCCCACAGAGAAAGTCCCGTCCTGGGTGTATTTGTGCCCTGCGCTTGTACCGAGCCTGGCGACCCACAGTGCTCAGTGACGAAAGCTGCCTTTTTCCTACCATTTAATTCCAAAAGGGATCTCTCACGCAGAGCGTCACACAAGGAACCCCGGGAGCCTCAGAACCCCGCGGACGGGCCGACAGTAAGCGAGGCAATGAGCTCTGGCAGCCTGTTTCTCGTTGTATGCACCGCAACGCACAGGCTCAGGACAGCGGTCCTGGAGGGCAGGCGACACGTCAAGCCAAACGGTGACCTCGGCTCGCCTATTTCTGAAGGACGTGTTTCACCCCCAACACAACCTAGAGTATCTACGGACAGACCGTACCCTTCGCCCATGTCGGCACGCACATCATTTCTTTCAACCGAACTTCCGATAATAATCACACAGCACGTGCCATCTTCAAGGTTATTTGCTCTGGTGGGCGCAGGTGCCCTCCGATTGATGGGCTCATCCCGGGCAGTGACCCGGCCACAGGGGGGCCCTTCTCCACGCCTGGACCTCGGAAGGAGGATGCAGAGCAAACGGAGCAACCCCCACAAGGAAATAGTTGGAGGCTGCATCTCATTCATCCCTGCCAGCTGGGCGGCCATCCATTACTGTGACCCTCGCCCACGTGCAAAGGCAAAGCGGGCTGAGCGCACACTCTGAGGGTGTGCTCTAACCTCGGGGGGCTGCCTGGCCGGCGACGGGGCAAGAACCGGGGTGGTGGCGGGGGCGTTGGGATGACGACAGGGGCGCTGAGAAATCTGGGGAAGGGGCTTGTGCTTCTAAGTGCCTGTTCCCCGCTCCCGGCATTATGGCTAACATCACACCACTTCCTCCTGTAGTAACTGGTCCTTTACATGGTGGGGCTCCCATTTTCCGATTGTTAGAGCGGATAAAACCAGAGGCTCCCTCTCTCTGTGCCGATGCGGGAGCGGATGAGAGCATGAGCGGAGCCCGCATCCGCCTCCCCATCATCGTGCCCTAACTCGGGGCCGGCCCTCGGGCAGATGTGCCTCTCATCGGCCTTCGTCCATGCCGTTACCTTGAACTTCTCTTCATAGTTCTCGAAGGCTTCCATGACCATGCACACGGCCTCCATTGAGCGCTCCAGCCGGCCGTCCACGCCATTGAAGCGGTACATGCTGCCAGACACGTCCACCACCAGGCGCAGACGCTTGGGTTTCTGCTGGACGCTGCCCAGCTGCGGGGGCGACAGGAAAGCCTTGTGAATCAGAAAGCCACCACCGGCTGCTGTTCTGGGGTCCCGCACGGGCCCCCGAGCGCCAGCACGGGGCAGGCAGGGAAGCGGCGGGCTCGGCGCCGCTCGGGCAGTCGGCAGGTGGACTGCGTTTCAGGGAGGGAACTTCAGACTCGTGTTGGCAGTCGGGGCGCAGGGGACAGATTTTTCCTCTGGAATACGGTCCTTTTAAGACCCAACCCGGTCTAGTTAAACTGCTGCACTGAGGCCCACGGCATCTTAAAAATAATAATCTGGGAAGATGGGGACCCCGACGTGTTGTTTTCGCGTCGTGCCTCGGAGTCGGTCACGCTAGCGAGAGCGAGTTATTTTGGAGGCCTGCGCGAGTTCTACTTGTACCTGTTGTGTCGTGATCTGGAAATCGTTCTCTCTAGAGTCCGCGAGAGATGCCAGACTCCGAAAACAAGGTTCTGTGAGAGGGCGTCTGGCAAAGGGCCGAAGGAAAATATTTCTCTAGCGTCTTTTGCTTTTAGTGAGCTTTCAATTTTCTCTTCCTTCCAGTTCCTGAATTACTACTTCTCTTTCCAGTGCTTGGCAGTCGAAGGCCTGAGAGTCACATCTAACTGCTGTTTAGCAACAAGTGTCAATTAAAATGTGAAACTCTGAGGAGTTTCAGTTTGATTTCGGACTCATGCCTGCCAATTTGCAGAATCGGAGACAGAAGTCTACTTGTCAGTTTACTTACAGGAAAAAAGGAAGGAGAAAAATTCCAGACTGTTCTGTTATTATAGACTTGCTGACAATGTATGAAAACGAATGAGCAGAGTTAGTCATGTCAAGAAAACACTGTGGGTATTACTGTTATGGTTTGAGACAAATTCAATATATTTTATAAAAACTGTGGAGTCCGCCTAAATTAAGAACAATGCCACATGTGCTTCCATGACTGCTCACAATTTCAGATGTATCTAAACGCTCTTGTCAACCACAATGAGTCAGTAAAGCAAGCAGCTGTTGACTCATACCAATGACATAGAACAACTCCCCAAATTACCGAAGGTCCCTCTGAATAGACATTTAACTGGAGCGAGTGACTCACCTTTCCCACCAGCCCCCCACCCCCAGCTCTCAGTGGCCGTTCTGCAATTCTGGTTATTCAGAGAGATAGGGGGCTACAGAGCCCTGCGAGAGACTCGGCATTTTACATTAACGCCACCGTTTTGCAAATATTTTGATGTTATGGTTGTCTAAAATGTTACGTGCATTTACACTAGTTATTTAAGGGAGAAAGACTCATTTTCTAACATTTTTTTTTCTGTTATGGGATGGACACAGATCTTTAAAACGACAGAGCAGCAGAAAGCCACCAGGATTGCTCCAGTGATCACGCTTGTGTAAGACCCCGAGGGTCTTCCGTTTCCCCCTGCGGCACGCTCGGGGCCCTGGGAGCCGACCTCCATGGACGGCATTGGCCTCTCTCCTGGTGGCCGGCTCCCCGGTGGGTTCTGCTGGTGGGAGATCGGAGGGTGAGGGTGGGACACCTGTGCCCTCAGCTCCTCCTCTGCTGCGGTCCATGGGTGGGCTCTCCCGTCAGGCAGTCCCCTCCGCACACCGCTTTCTCCAGGCCCCGGTGAGAACGCCCCCTCTGCCCTTCCAGACCTCAAGTGGGTCAGAGCCTTGCTGTAGGGAGAGCACACTGTCTCTTAATGGCTTTTTATTTTTTTTTAAATTAATTTATTATTATTATTTATGCCTACAGCACCCGGTCTTCCTAGGTGGTCTCCCATCTAGGCCCGACCCTGCTTAGCTTTTGAGATCAGACATCAGGCTTGTTCAGGGTGACCTGGCCGTAGACCACGGACCGTGGCTCCAATGGGGTGTGAACCCAGGACCTTCTGCATGTAAAGCAGACGTGCTGACCGCTACACTATGGAATCATGTCCGCTTTCTGGGTTTCTTAAACCCCACCCTTTACTTTTGTAAATAGTCTTTTTATTAACTGTTCCTTAAATGACTCAGTTTGAGTGTGCCTGGTGTTTCTTAACTCATGCTGGAATCGTGAATGATATAATAAATAGTATAATATTTGTTTTTTTTCCTAATTTTTTAAATATAATGGTTTCCATGGTTGCCATCCTCAGGATTTATGGAGTTTTAAAGGGACAGCCACTTGAGAAAGCAGCGGTCTATGAAGGCCGAGTGCTGCAGATCTGAGTGACCGGTTCACCACAACTTACTTGTGGCTCCAGCTCACCCCGGCGTTTGTAGATGGCTTTCTCTCCAGTCAGCCCATCGATGATCTTCGCGTCATCCAGCTCCCCAGTACTTTGGTGTCTCAGCCACTGTCTTTCTTTACCTTTAGCCTGCAATGACACACGCACGAATCTTTATGTCGATTAGTTTTGCAGGGTCCCTGACACACTCGGTGTATGAATGACAGGAAAACACCCAGGATCTGTTTAACAAGTGATGGTTCTGCGAGAACACAGCTTTATAAGTGGACTGATTTCTTCTTGGCAGACAAGGAAATGCCCTCTGTGCGCATTTTGTCAATTTTAATTGTTTTAACATATGGAATGATAAAATGAACTCACTTAAAACATACATCAGTGGGAAAACAGTATGCAAATGACCCTCCTGAGAAATGCACAGTATCTGGAAATGCAATGGTGATGCATTTCTTATGGACTTTCGGTCACTGTACTCCTAGAAAATTTATTAGGTACCAAAACAATCAGTTTGAACTTGTTAGCATTGTCTGTAAGCGCCGAGAAAACGTGATCTTCGGGACGCCTCCTTTTGGAAAAGAAGTTGTTAGTCAAGTTCACTGTGATGTACAGTGCAGCTGGGAATGGCTGAAAGCACCAGTACATGAACATTTCTGTACCCCATTTCTCTCTGATCGACTATATTCAGAAGTCTAAAGGTATTTCTACATAATACTCTCCAACAATAACCTATAACCATGCCAGGTGGACCAAGATAGTGATAAAGAATTACCATATCCTAATCAAGGCATAGGATTATAACAGCCAGGGATTATGTTTATACTAAGAAGTGGGAAGAACAGCTAAACTATTTTTATGCATGCAAACTACAGCAGTAGTTAAGATCATGTGCTCTGCAGTCAGACTGGTTCCAGGCCCCCCTTTGCCATGACCAGATACCTGACCTTAAACAAGGTACTTAATTAGTCTGCACTTCAGTGTCCTCATGTCTGAAATAAAGATAATACTAGTTTCTATTTTTATGAGTTTTTGTGAAGATTAAATGAGCGACTACATGGAATCGGCTGAGAAAGAGCCTGGCAATCCATGTTAGCTGATACCATCACCATCACCATCATCACCATCACCATCACCATCACCACCACCACCATCACCATCACCATCATCACCATCACTAACATCACCATCATCACCACCATCACTACCATCACCATCATCATCATCACCATCACCATCGTCACCACCATCCCTACCATCACCATCACCATCATCACCATCACCATCATCACCACCATCCCTACCATCATCATCACCATCATCACTACCATCATCATTGTCACCATCACCATCATCACCATCGCCATCATCATCACCATCACCACCATCATCACCATCACCATCATCATCACCATCACTATCACCATCACCATCATCATCACCATCATTATCACCATCACCATCACTACCACGATCATCATCATCAGGTGAGACACATTATGGACAATCAAGTCCACATTGATTTAAGCACATTTCCATCACTTATGCACTGGAGGTGGCTGTATGACAGCATTGTCACTGAAAATACAAACCCAAGCTTCAGGTAGCCAGAGTCTGTTTTAGGGGCAGACCAACCACCACACAAAGAAGCTCCACGCAGTATAAATCTGGGTGGTATTACATGAGTTTTCCTGTTCCTGATACCCTTGCTGCAAACAGGTACAAAATCTTTTCTGATGTATGTTCTTGTTAAGAACTCGATGATCTCACAGGAAAACGGGACTCACTGGGGCGTAGCTCAGTGAGGTCATGTAATTTGATAAGATGTACAGCTACGGGTGGTAGGAGGAAGGGGTGAGCCGAGTCGTCTAGTCTCCTTTCCCACTGGGCTGTGGATCAGACAGACAAGCTTCAGCACATAGTACTGCCCTTCGCAGGCCTTGTCTCCTGCAACCGTGATTGGGACCCAGATACCATCTCCTCTTCCCCTCATTCCTGATGTCTGGAGTGTATGATTCCTCAGGCTTCTAGGATACTTTATGGTGGAAAATGTGATTGCGGATGACCATTTAGGTACCTTTTGACTCTGAGATTCTACGACTCTCGGAGGCACCTAACTGTAGAGCACAGGCTTCTGATGCCTCTCAGAGATGAGGACAGACTCCCGCAGGCTAGGCTAGGCTGGGAACATAGCACTGCAGGAAGTCCGAGGGGACGTGGCGGTGGTGGGCAGCGACCTTGAGAGCAGCATGGAAAGTGGATTCTGGCGCTAGGTCTAAGAGGAATGAGGGGTTAAAATCAGGACGAGGTCACATGATATGTTGCGTAACACTAAGCACTGATTTTCAAAGTTTCATCAATTCATTGACAAGGGAGTGACCCTGAAGATCCCCCACTAATCCCACTAGCTGCTACGTAGTTTTATTAACCAATGATGCTTTCACCCTATAAAGAACCATTGCAATAGCTACAGATTAAGCGATTTTTGTGATTTTTTAATGCAGAATTACAATAAAAATAAATTTAAACCTCTACCATCTCACCACAGAGGAAATATAAAAGGCAAAAATGCTAATAATTTTACTCCCTTCCTCATATTTTGGTATTTCAGAAAACAGAATATATCTTCTAATTAATAGTAAAATAAACTTGCCAAGTTAATAGGCAGAGGAATTAATTGTGACTTGGTTGTCGCACCTGGAGGACATATATATGACCTTGGTAGAGCACAGCAGGTATCATCTCATTGAATTTTTTCCACTGGCAGCACAGATAATTGACTCTCAATTTGAGTTAAAATTCCTATTTAAATGGATTTAAAAAGATGATACTACAATTGAGCATTAGAATAACGAGCAAAGACAAGGAGACGTAAGATGCAAATACACAATAAGGGAATCAAGATTCTTTGCTGTAGAAGTGACTGCACTTCCACTAAGACCTACAAAGGTAAGACTCCTTGAGAGGAAGAATGTGGGTTTATATCTGTTAGGAGGACATATGCATAGAGGACTGCATGTCACAGGCCAGGTCTTGCAATTAAAAAAAGGAGAAACCTCTACATTTCATAAAATAGATCACAGCATTCTTAAAGCTAGCAGAAGCTGGGGTGACTGATTCATATACCATGAAGATCTGTTGCTCAGACACTGTACACCTGCCCAAAGGTTCAAGGGTAGCTATTGAATTTCTAGTCACATGTCATTCAATTGAGTACAATAGGTAACTGTCAGTGTAACCAAAGAGTAAGTGTAGAGAATCAATATCACAATTTTGGATGAGACTAGAATTTATACTGTCAATCCTAAAGGAATTAAAGAGGTCTGGATCATGAACATGGATATTAAAAAAAGAAAAAAAGCACTGTGGCACACTCTAGCTCATTACTGTCTTACTTTCTTCATAATTATCACCGTTTACAAATGTATTATTTATCTCTTTGTCTCTATTATCTGCTCGCTCCACTAGAAAGTAAAGGTCGTGAGGTAAGAGCCCTGATGTAACCCCAGCATCGAGAACAGAGCCTGATACATGGTAGGTGTGCAATAAAAATTGACTGAATAGATGTTGACTGCTTACTGTAACATGTTAAGTGACGAAAGCATGATACGAAAGCATGTAGAGACAGTCTTATCTCAATGTATATGCATATTATATACATGCGAAGAAAAACGTGTAGGAGAAAACAAAAGTATTAACAGTTGTGTTGAGTTGTGGAATTACGGGTGATATTGTTTTCTTCTTTTATAGTCTATATTTCTCAATTTTCATATAATAAACTTGTGACTTTTATGATCTGAAATAAACAAAAATAGGTTCTTTTTTTCTCGAAGGAATTGAAAAAACCTTTAAAAATTTTTAGAAATATATATACCTTTGAGACCAGCTTGCAGGTCATGGAGAGCACGGCTTCCCGAATTTTAATGTGCACATAAATAACTTAGAGATCTTGCTGAAATGCAATTTCTGATTCAGTAGGTCTAGGCTGGGATCTGAGAATCTGCATTTCTAGCAAGCTTCCTGGTGATGCCGATACAGATGGTCCACAGGTCACACACTGATGAGTAGAGACACATGGGATTCTTGGGGACCCTCAGAGGTCTGTACACTGCCTTTTGAAAACCACCATATAAAGTGCAGTAGCAAAGACCAGTCTCTCTTTGAAGTTCGCTCCCTATCATAGACAAACTACTAAAATGGTTGAGATGTCTTCACCTTCACAGTGATGGCTGTAATAACGCCCCCCCCACCCCTCCAACTGTGATATGTACCAAACTTCATCTTACTAAAAAGTCTATCAAGAGAATAAGAAGACAAGCCACAGACTGGGAGAAAATCTTTGCAAAAGACGTAACGGATAAAGGAATGTTATTTGAAACATGCAAAGAACTCTTGAAACTCAACAATAAGAAAATGAACAAGTTGATTAAAAAATGGGAAAAAGATCTGAACAGACACTTTATCAGAGAAAATATACAGTTGGCAAAGAAGCATATGAAAAGTGACATTGTATGCCACTAGGTAACTGCAATGAGAATAAGATATCACTACACACGTATTCGCGTGGTCGAAATCCGAAACACTGACAACGCAGAATGCTGGCGAGGACGGGGAGCCACGGGAACTCTCGCTCAGTGTTGATGGGGCATGCGAAATGGTACCGCTGCGTTACAAGGCGGTTTGGCAGCTTCTTACAAAACTAAACATATTCTTACCATACAACTCAGCAATTGCACTTCTCGTTATTCACCCGAGGGAATGAAAAACTTAAGCCTCCACAGAAACCTGCACGTGGAAGTTTACAGCAGCTTTATCCATAATTGCCCGGATTTGGAAGGAACTAAGACGTCCTTCAGTAGGTGATGGATACATAAACTATGGTCCATCCAGACCGTGGAAGATTATTCAATGCTAAAAAGAAATGATCTGTCAAGCCGTGAAATGACATGGCGGAAACTTAAATGCATGTTACTAAGTGAAAGAAGTCTACCTGAAGAAGCTACATATTGAAGGATTCCAACTGTATGATGTTCTGGGAAAAGCAAGACTATGGAGGCAGTAAAAAGATGAGCGGTTGTCAGGGGTGGGGGCAAAGGAGGAGCACGGAGGAATTTTAGGGCAGTGAAATCCTCTGTATG